GGATTTATCTGGCATTTTACCCCAATGGCTTGATTTTTTTATTGTTTGCAATAGATATTGCAAGTATATTTTTCTGATCTGTTTGCATAGGGTATGTTGCATGCATCAATGTGTGTTTTATTTTCCCTTCCTTACACAAAAGGTAGGCTCCTATATATGCTTTCCTGCACATTATTCACATTTTTCTTTGCAATCATTCAGTATCAGTTAATGGAGATCTTCCTTGGTTTGTTTGTTTACAACTGTGAGTGTACCACAGTTTATTCAACTGCTCTCCTAAGGCATGCATTACTTTTAATTAATTTATTTATTTTTGCTGTGTTGGGTCTTCGTTTCTGTGCGAGGACTTTCTCTAGCTGTGGCAAGCAGGGGCCACTCTTCATCGCGGTGTGCGGGCCTCTCACTATCGCGGCCTCTCTTGTTGCGGAGCACAGGCTCCAGACGCGCAGGCTCAGTAGTTGTGGCTCATGGGCCTAGTTGCTCCGCGGCATGTGGGATCCTCCCAGACCAGGGCTCGAACCTGTGTCCCCTGCATTAGCAGGCAGATTCTCAACCACTGCGCCACCAGGGAAGCCCAGGCATGCATTACTTTTGAAAGCAGAAAAAGCAAAGATAACTAGTGAAATGGAAAATTTAAAACCACTGAAGAGAGCAAGCTGAGGCTCTGATAGAAAGTCTGTCGTTTTTAAAGTGGGTGGGACCATGGGAGAAGCCGGGTGGCTGGTGAGCCCTTGAGCCTCACAAGTAGAGCAGTAGTGATGGCAAGGGGTCCACACGAAGTAACTCTCTTAGGTCGCGGCCTCTGGAGGCAGAGCCTGAGACTGGGATTGGAGGACACGTGAGGGAACAAGGAAGTAACAACGGACAGGGCAGGCGACAGAGCTAAGAAGGATATGTGCTCAGCTGGAGTCAGACTTCAGCCTGATCCTGCAGGAGCTCCAGAGCAGGGATCTCACCAGAGGTGGTCCCACCTTGAGTGGTGGTGGTGGTGGGGGACTCCCCCATCCCCCATATACGGTGATGTACTTTGAGAATGTTGAAGAGTTCAAATTAATGCATAGAATGGGTCTTGTTCCTGGTGCTTGGCCTGTAGGAGATCTTCAGCAAATGATAGCTAATACTATTATAGTCATTCTTCCCTTTTTTCCTTTTATTTTTTTCATGACAGCTTTATTGACATACCATACCATTAACATACAATTCACTTATTTAAGATGTCCAGTTCAGTGGTTTTTAGTATATTCACAGAGTTGTGCATCCACCACCAGAGTCAATCTTAAAACATTTTCATGACCCTATAAAGAAATCCTATCCCATTAGCGGTCACTGCCCCATTTCCTCCCCAACCCCTTCCTCCCTCCCTGCCCTAGAAATCTACTTTCTGCCTCTGTAGATGTGCCGGTTCTGGACATGTCATGTAAATGGAGTCACACTATATATGGTTTGGGGCCTGGCCTTTTGCACGCTCCTGTTGTTCCGTCGTGGGCTGTGCCCCACCCCCACCCCCAGCCCTCAAGGGGAGGTCACCACTTGCGTGCCATGGCTTCGGTGCAGTCATTCAGGTCTCCAGAGAAGGGCAGCTGTGAGCCATTAGCAGCCAACCTGCCCAGCAGCTGGCGGACGGACACACCAGCCTGTGAAGGAGCCTAGTGGGGACGCCATTAGAGTCCCGCAGAGTAAATCGTGTGAATGGGCTTCGTTAAGAGTGAAATGAAAGGGATTACCCAGCATAATAGAATAACAGCAGCAGTTACTCAGAAGTTCTGGGTAAACAGAAACGTATGTTGTCCTGGGCAGTGTCCCTTTTTAACCTCTTCAAGGCTCTTCCTCGAAAGATCAAGCAGGGAATGGAATCTCGGTGACCAAACTCTCACACCCTTGGTGGGAATTTTAATTGGTTCATTTTCTGAAGGATCATTTGACAGTTATTTCAAAAGCCTAAACTATGGGAATATGAAAGACTAAATGATTCCCCTAAGATCAGGACTCCTGTTTTACATCTTATTGGAGGTTCCAGCCATTACAAAAAGCAAGAAAAAGCATAAGGTTCAAAAGAAGTAAAGCTGTCCCTATTTGCAGATGATATGATTGTTTACTTAGAAAATCGTAGGAATCTACAAAACAATCTCTAGAACTAAAAAATGAATTTAACAAGGTCCCCAGATATAAACTTAATAGACAAAAATCAGTTGTATTCTTAATACAGTTATGTACAATATATACGAGCAGCAAACAATTGTCAAGTAAAATTGTAAAAATAATTCAATTTACAGTAGCACCAAAAACCATAAAATGCCTAGGAATAACAAAAAATATCTTAAGTTCTTTACCCTAAAAATTATAAAACATTACAGAGAGTAATTAAAGACCTAAGTAAATGAAAAGATAGACCACGTTCATGGATCAGAAGACTTGTTAATATGGCATTTTCCCCAGATTGATCTATAGAGTCAACATAATACCAATCAGAATTCCTGCAGTTTTATTTTGGGTAGAAATCCACAAGCTGATTCTAAAATTTCTATGGAAATGCAAAGTACCTATAATAGAAGAACAGTTTTGAAAAAGAAGAACAAAGTTGAAAGACCTATCCTATCTGATTTCAAGATTAACTATGAACCTACAGTGATCAAGACTGTTAGGCATTTGGTATTAAAAGATAAATGGATCAGTGGAACAGAAAAGAGAGTTCAGAAATAGACCCAAATTTATATGGTTAATCAATTTTCATCAAAAGTGCTGAGGCAGTTCTGGAAACAACTTCCAGTGTCCGTCAACAGTTGAATGGGTAAACAAATCATGGGATATCTATACAATGGAATAGTTCTCAGCAATGAAAAAATGAACTGTTGATACATGGATGAATCTTTCAAAATTAATGCTTCCATGATTCTTTCATGAAATCTTTAAAAAGTATGCTGGATGAAAGACACCAGAACCACCCCCCACCCCCGAAAGGTGCATACTGTGCGATTACATTTATATAAAATCCAAATTAATCTATAGGAACAAAAATCAAGTTGGTGGTTGCCTGGGACAGGAGGGAGGGAGGGAGTGACTCCAGAGGAGCACCAGGAAACTGGCAGTGATGGGTGCATTCATGACCTTGATCTTGGTGATGGTTTCCAGGAGTGTACATATGTTAAAACTGATCCAGTATGCACAGTTTATGGTTCTTCAGTTATACCTTAAGCTGTACCCAAAAGGGGGAGGTGTGTTTTGACCCAGCAGTTCAACCTCCTTGTAAACCTTGGAAACTGATGACCCTGGAGCCAGCCTTTTTTGTCTACTTGTATATGTGGTGTAGTTATCATTTTTGCTCTGCAAAAGTGCCTTGTTGTATTTGTGCCTTGTTGTATGATATTCATAATTAAGAACTTCTATTAAAGAAATATTCAGTGCTTTAGTTAATTAATATAAAAATGGCTTTCATTCATTTGGTGCCTACTGTGTGCCAGGCACAGCAGAGCTGTTTCTCACAATAGCAGCTTTGCAGAGTAGCTGTTATTATCCCCATTTTATAGATGATGAAACTAAGGCCATTCAGTTAAAAAGTACCAATGCTGGAATTGGATTTCCACATCTGCCCCACACTGTTCAATATAGGCTCTAAGTGTAAGATGCACAGTGAATTTTCAAGAACTTGAGATGGGCTGTAAGTGTAAAATACACACTGAATTTTCAAGAACTTAGTGTGGAAGTAAGGATGTAAAATTAGTAATATCTTATATACTGAATAGATGTTGAAATGATAATATTTTAGATACATTGGGTTAAATAAAATACATAACTAAAATTAATTTCACCTGTTATTTCTTTACTTTTTTTAATGGAGTTGCTAGAAAATTCAAAAATTACACGTGAGGCTCACATTACATTTCTTTTTGACCAGTGCCATCTCAGAGCTCTTTCCACATCATGTTGTCTATGTGAGAGACAACTAGGAGGTTAATTCAACAGTGTATATTTATATTTATTGAGTGTAAAATGTATGCTGGTTAAATTTTATAGTTTCCCTTATTGGTGCATTTGTTTACTCTGTAAGTCCATTAGCTACTTAATTTCAAGCAAAAATTGTCAGCAAACAATTTTTTCCATATTTCAGGTCTGGATTACTTTTTTAGATGGAAGGATGTGAACACTCTTAGTTTAAGGTAGATACAGAAGTCTCTGACCATCAGGACAGGTGCTCCTGTTTATAGAATAATTGACCAGTTTTGTGTTCTTTAAAGCAGTGTTCTCTTTTGGGCAAATATGCTGGTGTCTTCTGGTTGGAATGGCATCCATAGTTTTATAAACTAAACTACAAATTACTTTGTCCTTTGTTGTTTACTTTATCTGGGAGAAGCACAGAAGCTTCCAATTTTTGAAGAATCAAGAAATCGTGACTGACCTTTGATCACCCAAATGTATTTTTTAAGTTGGTATACTTTTCCCCCATTACTGGGGGTGGCCCTCCTTCTAGTTTTGTAAATAAAGTTTTATTGGATCACACACATGTGTTCACACACTTTCTACGGCTGCTTCCATGTCACAAAGGAAGGCAGAGTTGAGTAGTTGCAACAGAGACTGAATAGCCTAAAATATTTACTATCTGGCCCTTTACGGAAAAGGTTGGCAGACCCCGGGTCAATTAAGTTACAGGTGATCCTCAAAAGGAGGTCCATGGGGCTTCCCTGGTGGCGCAGTGGTTGAGAGTCCGCCTGCCGATGCAGGGGACACAGGTTCGTGTCCCGATCCGGGAAGATCCCACATGCCACGGAGCGGCTGGGCCCGTGAGCCATGGCCACTGAACCTGCGCGTCTGGAGCCTGTGGCCTCCGGGAGAGGCCACAACAGTGAGAGGCCCGCGTACCGCAAAAAAAAATAAAAATAAAAATAAAAAAACATGTAAAGTAGCTCAGAACAACGTCTGGCAGATGGTGCACACTCCATAAGTAATGCTGCTGCTGCTGCTGCTTGTTATTATTATTACTACCCTAATCATGACCTCCCGTCAAGTCCCAGGTCAGGCACAAGCAAAGAACTGGAAGAAGCTGAGGGTGTGTTTAGGTCGAAGCCACCCTCTCCAGGAAGCCTTCTTACTGGGCCCCAGCATCATCCGTGATCTGTGGCACTTTGGACCTCCAGGGTGGTAGACAGAGCATCTACTTCTGAGTCAGTCTGATCTAGGTAACAAATCCTAGCTGTGTGACCCTGGACAAGTTACTTAACCTCTCTGTGCCTGATCCCATCATCTGTAAAAGGGGACAGTATCTTCCTCGTGGGGGTCCTTACGAGGCTTACCTGAGATGATGCACGTGCAAAGTGCTCAGCTCAGAGCAGATATTCTGTAAATAAAACACCGCTAAACCGTGTTATTTTTACTTTCTGCATTTTATTATGAAAGCACTTTACAGTACTACCCAGCTGTAGACTTTAAGCTCTTGATTGCTAGGAATGGTTGATCTGGGTGCCCCGCTAGGCTCCACCAACACCTGGCATCGAGAGGGAGCTCTGCAAATGTTTATTGCCTCGAATTGACTGAAGAAACAGCATTCTGCCTCAGCCGAAGAACGGGGAGCAGGCCGTTGCCTTTCTCCACAGTCCCTGGCAGCCATGGGCCATGGACACTTAGGCATCTGGAAAGATACCTGCCAGGAAAATTCTGAGCCTGATTATACTGGAATCTATAACTCCCAAATTGGCAACTCAAAATCGTAATTTAATATGAAGAATGTCATACTGAATGAGTCAGGTGGGCCTTAACTCCGATATTGGATCAGCAGCTGACGTTCCAGCCCTGCCTAAGAAACATCTGCTTCTCCCCCTTTGCCTCACAGCCATCCCAGGCCACTGGCCGCCAGCAGGGATCACCGTCTCCAGGCCTGCCTCTTGGCTGCCTGCTGAGGAAATTCCTTACCTGCAGGAGGGATTATTTATGCCTGCTTTCTGTGTGTTCACACCAACCTTTTCCTTTTTAAAATTTTCCTTTTCTTTTTTTCTTTTATGAGTCCCATATTTTTCCTTACCACTGAGACAGAATAAATTGAGTGTGACTAATGATTTGTGACACAAGTTTCACTGCTACAGCTGGCAGTGTAAAGATGCCAAGCATTTTCATAAGTGTATACTCAGGATAAAAGAAAAAACTGCCCAATTAGAATCTGTTCACACTTTCCAAGCCTAAGTAACACTAAAGACATTAAGGACATCAGTTTTTAAGCACCAAATTGTACCGGGGTGCATCCCGATTTCCTGGTTGATTTGAGGCACATTTCTGATATTAGAATATTAAATTATATGGAGATTGTATCCCAATCCTCTGATTGATTTGAAATGAATTTGAATCAGGACAGCTTAAAAATTGCTTTTATAGCATCTTTATGACTTGATACCATGGAGAAATAAATATGAAGCTAATGCCACGGAGGGCGTACTCTTGATGCAGGGGCTGTCTCTGCTGCGGATTTTCCTGGTGGTAATTTAAGGAGATGCTTGTCACCTCCTTACAGCAGTTCATAATTTAAAAACAATCTATACGTGATACTCAATTAAGGCACCATAGAGGCATGTCGGCCACAGATGACTGATGAACAGTCTGAGTGGAAATTCTGCACAACTCTTGAAAACACCACTAAACACCACTAAAATTAATCTCCCATCAGGAAAACCATGATTTATTAATATAGTCTCTACCGCTATCGAGTTGTGAATCAACGCGTCCCCAAGTAGAGGACTTCCCTTGTGGCGCAGTGGTTAAGAATCCTCCTGCCAATGCAGGGGACACGGGTTCGAGCCCTGGTCCGGGAAGATCCCACGTGCCGCGGAGCAACTAAGCCTGTGCGCCACAACTACTGAGCCTGTGCTCTAGAGGCTGTGAGCCACAACTACCGAGTCCGCAAGCCACAACTACTGAGTCTGCGTGTCACAACTACTGAAGCCCGTGTGCCTAGAGCCCGTGCTCCACAACAAGAGAAGCCACCGCAATGAGAAGCCCGCGCACCGCAACGAAGAGTAGCCCCCACTCGCTGCAACTAGAGAAAACCCACGCGCAGCAGCGAAGACCCAACAGAGCCAAAAATGAAATTAATTAATTATTTTTTAAAAAGCTAGTAGAAAACCAACATAAGTAAAACTTCTTGCAAGTCCTGGTGGCAGGGCCTGGACGTTGCAAGGCCAGCTGGTCATGTCTGCGTCCCACTCCAGCAGGGGAGCCTCGGGGAATGATGAGCACCTGCTGTTTACTGGGCACACGTTGCCAGCATCCGAGCTGTCATCCAAACCTCTCTGCCACCCATGAGACAGGTGGTATTATTGTCTTACAAATGAGGAAGTCGAGGTTCACAAAGGTCAGTAACCTGCCCAAGGTCCCAAAGGGCAGAACCTGAGTCTGCAAGAACCTGAGCTCTTACATCCGAGTACCATGGTTCTGATCCTGGCTGCCCTGATTTCTAACTGAGTAGCTTTGCCTTGGTTCCTTAACTTCTCCGTGCCTAGTCTTCTCATCTGTAAAATGGAGATGACTCCTGTGTCCCTAGGACAAAGGTCTATTGGGAGGATTCAGGAGATGGTGGATTAAAAAGTCCTTAGGGGGCTTCCCTGGTGGCGCAGTGGTTGAGAGTCCGCCTGCCGATGCAGGGGACACGGGTTCGTGCCCCAGTCCGGGAGGATCCCACATGCCGCGGAGTGGCTGGGCCCGTGAGCCATGGCCGCTGAGCCTGCACGTCCGGAGCCCATGCTCCGCACGGGAGAGGCCACAGCAGTGAGAGGCCCGCGTACTGCAAAAATAAATAAATAAAAAATTCTTAGGGTCCTGCTGCTGCTACCCTCGACCCACTCTGCCTCAGTGTTTGCCCTTCTTTGGGACAGAATCAGGAGACATTTTTGGGGTTCAGAACTCCTGGACTTCCCAGGAGGTGGGAAGTAGAAACTCCCACTACCAAATACCAGGCTCCTGGGTCCGGTTCCAACCCAAGAGGAGGCTCCCTCACTTCCCACCTGAGTCTCATCCCTGTGTTTTGCTTTTCCCTGGGCCAACTGGGAATATCTCAGAGCCTTGAACTCTGCACCAGAACCCAGGAGAGTGGAGAGTCTTTCATACGTCCCTACTTTGAGACAGACTTTAGCCTCCTGCCTGACCATCCCGTTGTAAGTTTATCACATGGTCATTGCCTGATTTCCTGTTCAGGACTCCGAAATGTCAAGTTCCTCATTGTACTGGGCAGGGGGGAGGTGGGGATCTCTTTTACCAGAAGCAAGAAGATTCTGAACACAACAGCTCTGCTTGCCGACAGCTCTTTCTTTATTTCTAGTCTTCTTTAGGCTTCTTTGCTCATCTAAAAATCCTCATCTGGTCACATTTCTGTGACTTGGGACATTATCAGTAGATGATGAGCCCCCGGGGACCTGGGACGGGAAATGGATGGGACACGCTGATGGCAGAGAAGCCCAGCTCTCCACAGTCCACCGAGACCCCTTCCGAAAGGTCTGCCGGTCACTTGCACAGTCCCCGTTAACACTCCTGTCTCTGCGAATGCCAACAAATAACGGCATGAAATCTAAACATAAATGAGTTTTCACAGCTAATTACGGCTAATGCGAGCAACTTTCAAAATTGCCAAACATTCCTTCCAGAATAGTACATTTTGCAACTATGAATTAGGCCTAAAGAGCCAAATTTCATAAACATAATTTAGCATACAGCCAAATAATAATACTAAGTGCTTTCCGACCGGCCGTTAGCAGCTCCCCGAGGTGGGTCTAATCGCACACTCTCCCATTTGGGCGTCTGACGGCACAGGCCGTAAGGCTCGGAAACCCCAGGAAGGCAGTGGAGGAAGCAGTCATTTTCACGGCCCTCCAGCCTGAGTGATCAGGAGCTGTTCACTTCCCCAACTTAACGGCGATACACCCAACCCAGCGGTTCCAGCTGTAGCTTTTAGCCACACAGCTCCGGCCCTGGTGTGGCAGCACCTCCGTCCCTCCTGTCATCATTCTTTCCCAGTGCACGTCACCTTGATGTTTGTTTGTGATCGCCAAATCAATGCATGATCACTGCAAACATTATAGTAATAAAAACATAGAAAGTGATGCCCGCCCTTGCTAATCCCACCCCACCACCCTGGTGGTGAAATCACCTGTGTGAGTTTAGTGTCTGTTTCTCCCCCATTCAGCTGGGGGTACAAACTCAAGCACACACCCTCTTATACGGGCGTTATCTTTATTTTACAAAAACAGGATCACACAACACTTCTTTTTACATCTTGCTGTTCATACTTAATAATATATTTGGTGCCTTTCAGTGCCAGTACATGTAAATCAACCTCTTTTTTTTTTTTTTAAATACACACACTATAATTTATCCAGTCTCCCATAAACGAATATTACAAACAGTGCCTCTGTGAGCACTGTTTATTTGTCCCCACAAACACACCTACATCTGTGGGCTCTTCTCTGGGTATCTCTGAAGGATAAATTTATATGAAAATGGTGGTGTTGGGTCAAGGGGAATGCACAGCAAAATGTCAGAACCTAATAGCACCTAATTACCCTCTGAAATGAGTTGTATCTGTTTGCATCCTAATAACAGTCAATGGAAATAGCTGTTTCTCTCCACCCTTGGCTGTTTTAAGTAGGGAAACCTGGGTCATCTTCCGTTCCATTCCTAGCCATGGTCCAGGGCTGGCAGACCCACACCTGCCCGCAGGTGGGTCTCAGTTCTTGCTGCTGGAGAGTGGCTGTAGTCTCCAGAGCTCTGTTCTAAGTCTCCCAGAACCCTACTAACAAGAAGGGTTAAACAATTTGATCGTATTTCCTTCATACCTTTTTTGAATTACTGTCAAATGTAGAACAGTTCTCTCACCACGAGGGTCCCTCCTGTAGCCACACCCACTCCCAGCCCCCTTCATCCCTGTCCCTAACTCCTAGCAACTATATCTATAATTTTTGTCACTTTAAGAATGTTATGTAAGTGGAATCATACTGTATGGAACCTTTTGAGTTGGCTTTTTAAAATCAGCATAATCTCCTTGATATCCACTCAAGACGTGGCATGTGTCAATAGTTGATTCCTTTTTATTGCTGAGTAGTATTCCATTGGTGTGGGTGCCTCTTGACTGTGACCATTTCTTAGACTTTGCTTATTTTTGATGACCTTTACAGTTTTGAGAAGTACTGGTCGGGTATTCTATAGAATGTCTATTGGGATCTGTCTGATGTCTTTTTCATGCCAGAATTATGGGTTTAAGGGAGGAAGACCACACAGGTCAATTACTGTTTTAATCCCAGTCATATCAAGGTACATACCATCAACCTGACGTATCATCACTGTTGATGTTCGTCAGTTTCTCCACTGTAAAGTTACTTTTTTTAAAAAAAAAAAAACCCTCTTTATACTTTACTCTTTGAAGGAAGTCGCTATGCACAGCCCATACCTAAGGGGTAGGGAGTTAATACTCCACCTCCTTAAAGGAGGAATTTCCACATAAATTATCTGTTAGTCTTCTGTATGGGATGTTTGTCTCTTTTCCCCACATTTATTCAATCAGTTATTTGTATTAGTATAGACTCGTGGCTTTTTAAATAAATTTCCTGGCCCAGTCTTACAGACACCCATTTCTCCAAGGATCCATAGTTCCTTTTGTTGGAGAATAGAAGTAGAAACCAAGATGTGGCTGCTACGTGTGCTCCCTGCTAGCATGTGTCCTTGCTCCTAGGCACTTGCACCTGACAGAGCAAGAAATGTGTGTCTCTCTGCTAACCTGTGTACATACACATCTATATATATTTCCAGATGTCAGCAGGGTTTACACGTTAAGGTAAACACAAGTTCATACTGATGTCTCCAACTCTAATCCATTACCA